GCAGCTCCTAAGTAATCCGAAGTGAAACTAGCAATGGAGCTATATAACCACCCACAGGATTGTGAGAAATAATAAATTATTTTTGTTTTAAGCCATTGAGTTTTGGGGAGTGGTTTGTTATGCAGCAATAGATAACAGAAACAACTTCTCTGCTCCCTACGTCAATAGATGGCTTTATTATCTACTTGGTTGCCAAAGCCCTTTCCATCATATTTCACATTTAATCTGCCACCAAGTCCAAGGAATTTTTACCTTTCAATATATATCACAACACTCTACTTTCTACCTTCCCCATAGCTATGATTTAGTTCTGGTTCTTTTTGTCTCCTGCTTGGATTATTATAGCAGTCTTTTGACTGTTTTCCCTATCTCCTGTTTCCCTGCTTCCTACCCTTCCAATCTAAGTCATTTGGTTCCTACAACAGTCAGAGTTAACTTTCTTACAGACACATGTTATCATGTTACTCCATTGCTTCAAACCTTTTTTCTTTGCAAGGTAAAGTCCAAAACCCTTAATATGATTTACAAAGCCTCAGACTATCTGATCACAACCTGTTTTTGTGGCCCCATCTTCCACCATTCCTCTCAATGAACTCTACATTATTGAGCTGTTTCACAGGTTCTGGTGGGCTTCAGGAACCTGCTTTAACTCCTCTGTGGCATGAGGCAACCTACCGAAGAGTTTGAATAAGAACACTTGACCTGTGATTTTGGCTAAGTTCACAGGCTGACCACGAGGGACTCACACTAGGATAAATATTTGTCCTGTGAAGATTTACTAATTCCAAATGACATCCACATATGATACTACCTTTTAAAAGTGACTGATCTCTATCAAGAATACAAGTAATGATGAATGTTGGTGAGGATGTGGGGGAATGATACACTCATACATTGCTGATGGGACTACAAATTGGTGCAACCACTCTGGAAAGCAGTATGAAGGTTCCTCAGAAAACTTGGAAAGGAATGACCATTTGTCCCAGTTATCCCAACTCCTCAGTATATACCAAAAGGACTTAAAATCAGCATACTATAGTGAAATATCCACATCAATGTTTATAACAATTCAATTAACAATAGCTAAGTTATGAAACCAGTATAGGAACCCTTCAACAGATAAATGGATAAAGAAAATGTGGCATATATACATAATAAAATACTACTTAGCCACTACAAAGAACAACTTTATGACTTTTGCCAGCAAATGGAAGAAACTGGAGACTATCATATTAAGTGAAATAAGCCAATCACAGAAAACCAAAAGCCAAATGTTCTCTGATATGCGGATGCTAACATACAACAAGGTGGGGTGGTGTAGAAGTTCAGTAGATTAAACAAAGGGGAAGGAAGGGAAGGGAAAGAGAATGGGAATTGGAAAGACAGTAAATGAATCAGATATAACTTTCCTATGTTCATATATAAATACACCACTAGTGAAACTCCACATCATGTACAACCTCCTAATTAGAATAAGTTATATTCCATGTATGTATAGTATGTCAAAATACACTCTATTGTCATGTAAATCTAAAAAGAACAAATAAAAAAATTTTTAAATGACTGATTCTCATATGATAAAAACATAAATTTTGGGGCTGTGGCTCAAGCAGTAGTGCGTTCACCTGGCATGCGTGGGGCACTGGGTTTGATCCTCAGCACCACATAAAAATAAAAAAATAAAGATATTGTATCCACCGAAAACTAAAAAATAAATATTAAAAAAATCAATATTAAAAAATTCTCTCTCTTTAAAAAAACATAAATTTTATAAAAATTTATGAAAATAAAAAATATGAACTAGAGAAGGTTGATTTCTTGATCCTAACAACTAGAAAAGATTCTAGGAAATTTTGTTGTAGAAACAATGGTATTCGCTGAGCAACCAAAATTCTCAGGCCTGATAGAAAAACCCCTGGCCTTGGTGTCAGACAGACTCCAAGATAAATGGCTCTTCCATTTACCAAATGTGTGACCTTGAGCAAGTTACATAAGCTTTCTGATTCCAATTTTCTTATCTATGAAAAGAGGCTGATAATCCATACCTTGCATGATTATATTGAGGATTAAAGGGGATAAAATATCTAATTCAAAGTTCTCTACAAGATTTTTGTCAATTCCATGAGAGCCCATGCTCTTAGAGGTACCTCCAGTCTCCTTTTTCAATTAAGACAAAACAAAGCATTGCTTAACTTCCTTACTCATGCACCATCGTGATTCCTCTCAGAAAGCATTTGTAGGTGTGGTAGACTCTCTTGACATCTGGAGAGTCACAGAAGTTGTCACATCATAGTCATGCCAGTGCTTAAAACCCTTTGCCCACTCACCATGGGAAGATTTCCTCTGACTCTACCCATGCAGAATCTACCTTTACACTGATTTTCTTACTTATCTTTTTCCTTTTCCCCCTCCCATCTCTCTTTATTACCCCTCCCTCCCATTTTGCCAACTGAATTTCAAATTCTCCTCCATCTTTTTACATAGAGCAAATTTGTGGTGCTCCCCCCTTCTCTCCCAGACTTACTCCACATTCAGGGACTCAAATAAGACAAAGGACCTTCTGTGTGTTAGCATCTACCCTTCTTAGAAAGCAGTTGTGGTTAAATATAGCATTTTTTCTGTTATAATAACCACAATGTTTCATATTTATTGAGTGCTTACTCTGTACCTAGCCTTTTATTAAGTGCTTTCCAGTAGCTCATTTGCTCATTTTATCTTCACAATTCTGGAAGGTAGCTCTTGTTATGTTCCTCAGATAAGGAAGGGATACACATGTCAAAAAAATAAGGCAATTGACATAGATTGTACAGCAAACCAGTATTGTGACAAGGATTGAAAACCAGGTCTGCTGGCCCCAAGCCTGTTCTCTTTCTTTTACATATGGCCTTTCAGGGGGAGGAGAAGGAGAAAGACCTGAGGCTACATAAAAGCAATGCCATCTGTTCTCATATTGTTTCACAACTTTAAAAGGATAGTTTTATATGTTATTATTCCTGTGAAGAATCAATAATCATTATCTTCTCACCAATTTTGAAATGAGGAAAGTAAGTGTTTATTGGAGAAAGTAAGTGAATAGTCAGCATAGGATGTTTGCTTTTTTAAAAAATATATATTTTTAGTTTTAGATGAACACAATATCTTTATTTATTTTTATGTGGTGCTGAGGATTGGACCCAGTGCCTCACGCATGTGAGGCAGGTGCTCTACCACTGAGCTACAGCCCCAGCCCTTAAGATGTTTGCTTTTGAGATTACAGAGGTCCCAGTAGTAAGTGATCAAGGGGTTCAGTATACTATGGGAGATGGTGGCCTCAGTAATGTAAAAACAAGGCCAGTGACTGAGGGCCCGGAAACCCATGACCATTGAAGTCACTATGAGGATTGTATGACAGGGGCTAGTGAGGATGACCATGAGCCAGGGGTTGAAATAGTTAATACATAAGAGAAACTGAGGTCAGTGGTGAGGAAGGGTATGAGGATGGTATGGTTGGAGAGCAAAGGAGAAGAAATTTCTGTACAAGCGGGGAAGTGGCAATGCTGGCCCACCTCCTAGTTTTATGGTGTGTGGGTAGTGGGAAATTGAGAAGCCTTCTCGTAGAGGGCTAAAAAGGGAGCAGGGTCCTGGAGGACAGTAATATTTCAATAAATACAAAGAAGTAACCTGAGTACTCTGAAGCAGTGGGTGTAGAAGAGTTTGTTGACAAAGGAAGAGGGCTCTGGAGGACACAGGGGAAAAGGCTGTCTGAGAAATGGGCAGTAGAAATGAGTGAAAGGGTTGGGAAGAAGCTCAGAATAGAATAAAGGATTGAGTCTGAGGGACAGGACAGACAAGCAGAAGGACTGTTAATTTGGGTGATTGCCTAGGCTGGGGGGAAAGAATGTAGACAGGTTCAGAATGCAACTTGGTGAAAAACTGGTTTTGGTATTTGACTCAGACCTCTAAGATTTGGTATAGGGGAAGAGTGTAGGGAAGGACAACTACTTTAGACTAAAACAGTCAGCTGGCTCCTGTGGCCTCAGGAAGACTGGAAGTGAAGTCCACAAGAGGGTTTGAAGGTGGGTTGCTAATTATCTTCTGTACATACCACTCTTGGAAGAGTGGGACTTTCTAATGCTCAGGCAAGAAAACTTTCCATTCCAGTTGGTAGCCTCCAAGCTACTGTTGGTAATGGGGAAACACTGAAAGTTTTCTTTTCTTTTTCTTTTGGTTTGTTTTAAAACCAGGTTGATAGTGACATTTAAAAAGGTTACTCAGGGGGCTTGGATTGTGGCTCAGTGGTAGAGCTCTTGCCTAGCACATGTGAGGCACTAGGTTCTATCCTCAGTATTATAAATAAATAAATAAATGTATTGTATTCATCTACAACTAAAATTAATAATAGTAATAAAAATTTTACAAAAAGTTTACTCAGGCCACTGATGTAGAGGAGGTATTGGAGAGCAGAATTAGGAATAACAAAGCTGTTGCTTTAGTCCAGGCAAGAAGTAATGAATCCTGAATCAGAGAATGGGCAGTAGGAATCAAGAGGAAGAGTAAGGATATACTAAAGCCAGGAGGGGTGGGCTTGGAAGCTGCTAGCTTGGAAGAATGAAAAGATGGGAGGCCAGCTGGGTCTACCCGGACTGCAGAGCAAGTGAAGGAATGTATCAAATTGAGGACGATACCCAGATTTCTGGCTTAGTTTCTACTTGTAGTCCGCCATTAAGGTTCTGCCTCTCTCCCTCTCTGGGCTTTTGTGAGAAAGGAGCGATGTAACTCGCAAGAAAGTTATTTGAAAAAAGGAAAGCTCAGTGCCTATCATCATCTACTTTATCATCAAAGCTCTCTGGTCACCCAGTAGATTTTCTGTGGAGCAAGATGTGAGAATTAAGGTAAATCACAATAGCCACCCAAATATGGGGGAGCTGTGGGCCCCCAAGATACCTTGGATTCCCAACACCTGCCAGGAGCTAGGGGCGGGGCGAACACGGACTCCGCCCCTGGGCGGGGACTGGACTCAGCGGGAGCTGAACCCAGCTGGAGCCTGAGTGAGCCTCAGTCCTCATCCGCTGAGGTGGGGACCAGATCCGTCCGTCTCGCTCCACCCGGCTCCACCCTGCCAGGCTCCCCAGATCCCGCAGCAACCCTCCTGCCGCCACGTGGGACCGTCCGGCTGCGCAGTCCGTGACCCAGTACCTCGTCCACCTCGTAGTCCGAGGTAAGGGGCGCGGCCCCAGCATCCAGCCGGCGAGGAAAAGTGAACGAGTGCTGAGAGCTAGCGCTGGGCAGCCGAGGGGACACCGAAAAGAAGGGCTGGGGGAGGCCGTTAGAGAGGGACGCCGAGACAAGGAGGAGGCACTGGCCTTGGCAGGGGGCGTTGAGGGGCTCTCCCTGAAAGGTAGGGGCCTCCCGGGGAGCTCCAAGGGCAGAGGGCAAAAAAGCGTGCCCCGCATGGGGGGAAAGATGAGCTGCAACTGAAGGGCAGCGGGATTGCTGGGGAAACTGGGGAGGGGGGCGTTGGCGGCTCGGGGTAGAGCGGGGAGGGTTAGTGCGGAAAGAGGGAGCCCGGGAGCCGAGGAGCTAGGGCAGGAGGAGGCGTGGAGGCGAAGAGGGGAGGGGAGGGGAATGGATGAGGAGTGAGGTGCTGAGAGGAAGGGGCGCTGAGCAGGCGAGGGTGTCAGGTCCGAGAGAGGGTCAGCGGACAGGAGGTGTGAGTATGAATAGCTACTAAAGGAGGGAGCGCAAAGCTGGAACCCAGTTGGTACCCCAGAAGGGGTCGCGGTGAATGCAGGGCGAGGGGTGGGGCTTGGAAGCTGCTAGCTTGGAAGAATGAAAAGGTGGGAGGCCAGCTGGGTCTACCCTGACTGCAGAGCAAGGGCGCGGAAGCTGGAGGAGGGAGTGGGCATGGTTCTAGATGTGGGCAGGGGGCGCCTGGGTTCTAGTCAGGAGTCGGGGCGGGGAGACGCCGGAATAGAGCAGGGTCTGGAGGCTGGAGGTGGAAGAAAGGTGAGCGAACTTGGAGAATTTGGGGTGGTGGGGGCACTGGGTCAGGTTGGGGAGGAGACCAGGTGTGGGTTGTGGTGTGTTGGGGGAAGTAATGCGAACAGTGAAGCCTAGGTGCTAGGATTCTCAGAAGACTGAGAGGGGTTGGGGCGGGGGGGACTAGCACTGGACCAGATTACATTGCCACCTGGGATCACTAACAAGAAGCAAATCGTGGACAGGAAAAATTCATCCATAGGCTTCCTCTGTTCTGGAGTCTAAGCGTGGAAGGGACTTTGGGGTGGACAGTGTGGCAACCTCTGGAAACTAAGAGAGGTGTATATGTGGGTGTGTGTGGGTTTCCATCCCAGCTTCCCAGAATCCAGATGTGCAGGGATGGAGGACAATAAAATGATTGGATATGAGTGTATGCGCTTAGGTACAGCACACATCTATTTTCTATGCTATAAACAGAGGAAGACAATGGAAGTTATGAAAGGCCCTCTCTGTGGTAATGGGAAGGGCTAGAATGGTGGTAGTCAGAGGCGAGGCCTTTTGGGAAGGCAGGTGGGTCAGGGAACCTCCTCATGAGGGATTTTAGCTAGTAGTGGAGTAGAGTGCATTCCTACTAGAGGATACAGTATAGGAAAAGGCAAAATCTAAAATGACCTCCAATCCAAGAAATAAATTTCCAGTTTCTTAAAGATTGTAATTAAAAAAAAAAAAAGAAGAAGCTATCAGTAACAGAATACTTAAGTTTGGAGCTCATGGGGGCTGGGGCTGTAGCTCAGCACTCAGAGTGCTTGCCTAGCATGCTGAGGCACTGGGTTCAATCCTCAACACCACATAAAAATAAACAAATAAAATAAAGGCATTCTGTCCATCTATAAGTACAAAAAAAAAAAAAAAAGTTTGGAGCTCATTAGGACATCTTCCCAGAATATGCACAGGGCCCGGCACATGCTAGGTGCTTGGTGAATGTTGACTGAATGAAGAATTGAGCTGAGGTGGTTTCTGCCTCAATTTCTTCATCTACCCCAAGGATTATGAGAAGCCAATAGGATATAATGGGTGAAAAGAGCTTTGTAAACTGTAAAGTACTTATAAATGTGATGTACACTGATGTTCCTTTTTTTTAATATGTCTTTTTTTTAAAGAGGGAGGGAGGGAGGGAGGGAGAGAGAGAGAGAGAGAGAGAGAGAGAGAGAGAGAATTTTTAATATTTATTTTTTAGTTTTCGGCGGACACAACATCTTTGTTTGTATGTGGTGCTGAGGATCCAACCCGGCAGCACGCATGCCAGGCCAGCACGCTACCGCTTGAGCCACATCTCCCACCCACACACTGATGTTCTTATGCAGGTGTGCCTCCATTCTGTCAGCAGTTACACACATGGCTATCTTTTTTTAAAGTTTTTAAAAATTTATTTTAATTAGGTATATATGACAGCAGAATGCATTTTGATTCATTGTACACAATTGCAGCACAACTTTTCTTTTATCTGATTGTATACAATGTAGCATTGCACCATATGTGCACTCATATATGTACCTAGGGTAATAATATCTATCACTTTCCACCATCTTTCCTGTCCCCATATTTCATCCCCTCCACTCCCTCCCCTTTGCCCAAAGTTTCTCCATTTTCCCCATGCCATCCCCCATTATGGATCAGCCTCTACTTAACGGAGAGAACATTCGGCCTTTGTTTTTTTCCCATTGGCTTACTTTGCTTAGCATGATATTTCCCATCTCCATCCATTTACTTGTAAATGCCAAAATTGTATTCTCTTTTATTGCTGAGTAATATTATCTTTTTCCAACCTGGAGAAGGAAGAAAATGAACATTTATCAAGCATCTGTTGTTGTGCAGATAAAATGCATTGAAAGTAACTAGTAGAATACTTGGCGGTTAGTAGGAGCTCAATATATGATAGCAATTATGATGGTGTTTCTATTGGCTATACAAGACCTGGGATAACAATGAGGAGGTGGGCTGGGCTAGGCTGGTGATGATGGGTTGGCAGTGGAAAATGAATTAAAGATTTAATTTTAAAAGAATATGCCTTTTGGGAGAATGGGCATATATATAGTAGAGGGAGGTTCACATTTGCCTAACTCCTTAGCCCCACTGATAAATGTTCTCTGAAGGAAGATAAGGAATTACATTTTTTGAACACCTGCTATATTCCATGTACTGTGCTAAATCACCTATATTACCTATATTCTTCCCCACATGCTTATTTTACAAAGGAGGAAACTGTTTCTTAGTCATGTAAAATTTCTTGCCCAGATCTCACCATTAATAAATGACAAAGCAGGAAATTATATCGACTTTGTTTGCTTTGGAACCCCAAACTATTTTCAGTACTTAGATGAGTTGCTATGAGAAAACATGAAGCACAGAGAAAAAAAAACCCAAAATTTCAAAGTGATTTATAAAGATCTCTCTTATGTACTAGTTTTAATTCTTACAAGAGTTTTGCCAGGAAGCCATTTTATTAACTTATTTTTTAGATGAGGAAACTGAGGCTCGGGACGTGATTTGCCTAAATTTACACAACTACTGAGAGTTCCAGGACTTAACCCAGGTCTCTTGGACTCAATCTCCCTGTCCGAGCTTTTGGCTCAATCAAAAAAGAATTCCCTTCTTTGCTATATTTATTGAGTTGATATCTTCTTGATGGATTTTAGGGGGATATCTCCCCCGCCTTTTTCCTGGCTGAAGTTGATTCTTACTTAGGTGTTTATTTCTGCTGCCTATGAGACTGAAAGGGACACTTGTTTTTTCACATCTTTTTTTGAGGAGCCATTTCTTTCCTTCCCCCAGCCTGGGATCAGGGATAACATACTTCCCAGATGATTCCTAGGCCTTCATTTGTATTGCTCATGGAGACAGTGAGCCACCCAGCTTTATCATTTTATGTGACTGTCACAAAAGAGAGGGAAGGTTTGATCAATCTTATCTTACAAATGCAGTTCTGCATGCACTACTGTGCAGTGACCTGTCTGCTCAGATCTGCCTCAGGCGGCTGCCTGCTGGGATGTTTTTTGCCTCTCTTCCAGATGTCTGTGTCCCCCTTGCCCCCCTCCTGAGAAGATCCCCCTTGGGGGCTTCTATTCTCACACCACCTACTGGGAAAGCTGTGCTGTGTGCACATAAGCAGATGTCGATGGCAGAGTGTGGCAAGTACGGAATGGTGTTGGGGACACTTCTCTACTCACCCTAAAATTGTTCTGGCTTTTATCTTCCTTAAGCCCTGTCAAATCTGGAAGACACCGGCTAACAGAAGTTCGGATCATGAACTGTGTGGCCTTAAACAATTTGCTTCTCTTTGTGGAGCCTCAATTTCATTTACCTACAAAATGATGCTAGGGGTTGGATCGGAACAGGAATTGAAACTATCTTTGACTCTCGCCATCACTCTCCACTCTCCACATCTGTTTCTACATAAGGCCACATGTATTTTCTCAGCATGGTGTATAAAGCAGTTACATTCATTCTCTTATTTAAAATTCACAGCAGCCTTGTGAAGTAGTTATTATTATTATTAGATGAGAACACTGAGTCTTAGAGTTTTAATGACCTGCCCAATTTCATACACTGAGTTACTATGAAAGCTGGCACAAATAGCCAGGGTTTTTGTTATGATAAACCTGTCACTTCAGTATCCTTCTAATTCTAGCAGTTTAAGAGTATAAAACTGGCTTCATCAGATAAAATGAAAACATTTATATTGGTAATCTGGCACATGAAAAATAATTAATGTTTATTGAAAGAAGTATCATCTTCTAAAGATATAGGTCCAGTGTTGGTGTCCCCATGATAGATAAAACTCCTTTCAATCCAGAAAGAGAAGCAGTTAGTTTGTTGTAAAACAGCACCCAAATAATGAAGCCCAGATGAGAGAGAGGCAGTTGAACAAAATTTGACAGCAAATGTGAATAAAAGGGGCTAGTGAAGTAATAATTTTAGAGTACCTCCTATAGGCCAATAAACGCTCAGATTGTTTACATATAGTAGTGCTTACTATATTTGTACCATTGCTCCATGAAGTAGGTGGCAATTTCCTATTTTAAGGTAATAATGCTCTGACTTAGTGAGTCAATACGACTTGCTTAAGAATTCAACTGATGGGTAGAGCAGAAATTTAAAACTTTCCCATAACACTGCAGGGTACCGAGTCTAGTCTCAGCCATTTGCTATGAGACTTGGGTGAATCTTCTTAATTCAAATGGGAATAATCCTTGTCCTTTCAACTTTATTTCCCAGGTTTAGAGGATAAAATAAGATAAAGGACATGAAATTAAAATGAAAATCAAAGCTGTGTTTTAGTGAAGTTGCCCTTTGACCACTTTTTGAGGAAATAATTAGGAAAGTGAACAAAGGTTTATGCAAAGAAATGTTCACTTCAGGGTTGGGGCTGTAGCTCAGTAGTACAGTACTTGCCTAGCATGTGAGGCACTGGGTTCGATCCTCAGCACCACATAAAAATAAATTTAAAGAAAGGTATTCAGTCCATCTACAACTTAAATAATTAAAAAAAGAGAGAAATGTTCACTTCAATTTAATATATAATAATTAAGAATAGAAACACAACTTAAACCGAAAAGCAACTCTCAAAGAGAATGACAACATTAAAGAACTGGTCGTAGGAAATGATTTTATGAAGAATTTTTAAAGTCTTAGTACTTTTTAAATTATTAAATACTTTTTTTTCCCATACGATTTTATTTTTTTTTTTTAGTCATACATGACTAAATTATTAAGTACTTTTAAAATTTAAATACTTTTGCCAAATGATAGCATACCATACATTCTGGTCTATACTTTCTGTGCAGATGATCTCAGCTATTAAAATATGCATAGAAATTATAGACTAGAATGTATGGTATGCTATCATTTACATATAAATAAAAAGTATATTTTTCTATGCTTGTATATGCAAAAAATTTCTCTGAAGGAGATATAAATTGGTAACATGTGCCTCCGGGGAGGGAAACTGGAAGTTGGGAACCAGGATGGAAGCAACACTTACTTTTCAGTATAAGATTTTAGGTTCCATATTACTTATTTTTTTTATGTTAAAAAGTAAGAAAATAATGCAAATTACAGATGATGAAAAATAATATAGTAAATAATGAAAAGTTGATGAATTACCTTCAATGAGTGTGCATTGCCTTTTAAATTAATGAATAAGATATAGTTCTTGGCTGGGGCTGTAGCTCAGTGGTAGAATGCTTATTTAGCACGTGTGAGGCACAGGGTTCAATCCTCAGCACCACACAAAATAAATAAATAAAGATATTGTGTCCATCTACAATTAAAAAAAATTTAAGAAGATATAATTTTAAAAATAGGCATGTATGGTGGTACAAGCATTTTTTTTTGAATGAATACATATTGAAAGAAATATACTATTTTTTTTTAAGAGAGAGAGAGAAGAAAGAGAGACAGAGAGAGAGAGAATTTTTTTAAATTTATTTTTCAGTTTTCGGTGGACACAACATCTTTATTTTCTTTTTATGTGGTGCTGAGGATCGAACCCAGCGCCCTGCGCGCATGCCAGGCGAGCGCGTTACTGCTTGAGCCACATCCCCAGCCCCTAAAATTTTAATAGTAGTCATTTTTGGGTAAGTGAGATATTAGATAATTTAAAATTTTATCTTTTATACATTTGCATAAATTTCAAATTTTTTATAATGAATATGTACTTTCATAGCAGAAATTTTCTTTTGTAAACAAAGACAAAGAAAGACGAATGGAGCAGAGTGAAAGATGGTATCATGTCATTGTGGTGGCTTCCCTTCTGTTAGGTAGAAAAAACAATTCTTTTAAATCACCAGTTCTTTTTTTGTTTTGTTTTGTTTTGGGGGCATACCAGGGATTGAACTCAGGGGCACTTGGCCACTGAGCCACATCCTCAGCCCTATTTTGTATTTTATTTAGAGACAGGGTCTCACTGAGTTGGTTAGTGTCTTGCTTTTGCTGAGGCTAACTTTGAACTTGAGATCCTCTTGCCTCAGCCTCCTGAGCCACTGGGATTACAGGTGTGTGCCCCCTCACAGGCTTGAATCATCAATTCTTGAAATAGGCTTTGTATCTTGTATTATGACAAACTGAAAAGTGAAGTCTGTGAGACAGTTTAAACAGCCAATTGCACTCTCCTTTCCAACCTCACTTTCTTCTTTCATGTAAATGATATTATGTCTAGCTGAATGTGGTAGTGCATGCCTGTGAGACAGGATGGCGATGTCAAGGGCAGCCTGGGCAATTTAGTGAGGTCTTGTCTCCACAAAAAAAAAAATTAAAAGAGGTGGTAGAGCACCCCTGGGTTCAATCTCTAGCACTGGGGTGGGGGGGGAAATGCTGTTATCCTACTACAGGGACACAGCCACATCAATGTTTATAGCAGCACAATTCACAATAGGTAAATTGTGGAACCAACCTAGATGCACTTCAGTAGATGAATGGATAAAGAAAATGTGGCATATATACACAATGGAATATTACTCAGCAATAAGAGAGAATAAAATCACGACATTTGCAAGTAAATGGATGGAGTTGGAGAAGATAATGCTAAGTGAAAACCCAAAAACCAAATGTTGAATGTTTTTTCTGATAAAAGGAGGCTGATTCATAGTTGGGAAGGGAGGGGGAGCATGGGAGGAATAGAGGAATTATGAATAGGACAAAGGGGTGGAGGGGAAGGGAGGGGGCATGGGGTTAGAAATTATGGTGGAATAAGATGGACATCGTTATCCAAAGTACCTGTATGAAGACACGAATGGTGTGAGTATACTTGTATACAACCAGAGATATGAAAAATTGTGCTCTATATGTGTAATATATCATATATAACAAATTAGAATAAAAAAAAATTTTAAAAATGCTGTTGTGCCTAAGCCTCCAAGTATCCTGGACATGTTTTATACCTCTTGAGCCTTGTCATGGGACTGATGATACAGGGATGAAGCTGAGGGTCTTATATAAAGGCAGGAAGAACAGAGGGCACTGAAGACTAGTGGTGATATATTAAGAAAGTTTTTTTTTTTAAATATCAATTCTATATATGTGTCTCATTGTTCTTAAAGAGTGCTTTAAATTTGAGTATTGTGTGGTAGTATAATCCCAGTGACTTGGGAAGCTGAGGCAGGAGAATTCCTGCATTCAAAGTCAGGCTGGGCAACTTAGCAAGACCTATCTCAAAATAAAAATAAAAAGATCTGAGGATGTAGCTCAGGGGTAGAGGACCTGACTATTCTTGGGGTTTAATCCTTAGTACTGCAAAAAACAAAAACAACCTTCTATGTTCATCAGCTTCTTGTCTTTATAGTTTATCTGAGAGTTACATAAAGCCAAACTCAACAATCTCACTTCCTTTCTTTTTTTTGGGTGGGAGTTGTAGCTCAGTGGTAGAGCGCTTGCCTAGCACATGTGAGGCACTGGGTTTGATCCTCAGCACTACATAAAATCAATCAATCAATAAATAAATAAAGGTATTAAAAAAAAGGAACTACCAAAGACAATGATAACCTGAACACTTTCTCACATTAGAGGTACCTTCTACCATTCCCTGATTACTTACCCAGCCCGTTTGTACCTAGTGTTAAGCAAGAGGAGAGACTTAAGGTGGAGAAGTAGGGCACTTGGTGTTTCGAAGCTGTAGAAGAAGCAACTAAAGGACTCACATCAGGTAATAGGACCATTGGAAGGTTGGTGACTCAAAGTAGCCAACTGACCATAGGTCTCTCTTGCAGATGGCTTCAGTGAGCAGTGATAAAACTGGAGTCAAAGATGCCTCTGACCAGAATTTTGACTATATGTTCAAGCTGCTCATCATTGGCAGAAGCAGAGTTGGCAAGACCTCCTTCCTCTTCTGTTACACTGGATCATGGAGTTCAGATTCAAAGTGTTCTAAGAAAAGGAGAGAATGGTAGTAGGCCTAGCACATACTAATATTTGCTGAATGAATGAATGAGTGAATGAACAAATAAAAGATCAAGGCTTAGAAAGATTGGATTATAAGGACTTAAATTCACACAACTGTGGAATTTATCAGTTTATGAAGGTCATAATCATTGTTATCTCATTCAAGCCCTATAATAGCCTCGTGAGAAACGCAAGGGCAGAAATTGTTCTCCCCATTTCCTATATGAGGATATTGGGGCCCCAAAGTGATGAAGTGACTTTCATTAATTCAGCACATGTTTTTACTGAGTGCTGTTATGTGTGAGGATTTGTGCTAGAAGCCAGGCATGCAGAAATGGAGTATATTAAATCCCAGATGTTCAGTCTAAAAGAGGGGCCAGAAGAGTAAACAGTTCCAAAATGACAAAAGTACCATTAGAGTGTTGTGAGAACACAGGAGCAGGAGTCATATCTCTGCCATGCACAGGGAAGGTGACACTCTACCTGGACCTACAAGGATGAATAGGAGTTTATTAGGGGGAAAAATCATTCTAGGCAGAAGGAATCCACATACAAAGGGACGAAGGCTTACTGTGGAGTATTTGGAGTAAAGTGTAATTTAATATTAAGGTAGCACAGGTTGATGGGGAGAAGAATTGGGGAACAAAAGCTTAGAAAGTTGATTCTTTGGTTAGTTGGTTCTTCATTAATCTGAATGGTTTGGACTTGATATTTAGAGATGTGGGGAGCCATAAAAGCTTTTGAAACAGGGAATGATAACCCTATACTGAGCCCTGCCTCCTACAGGAGACTCTCCTTGACCACCATGTCTTCCCATTGGGTTAGGCTTCTTGTGGACTTTCTTAGTCAAGGTTTTATCACTTCCCTATAGTTGTTACTTCTGTTTCCCTGTTCTTTTATTCTAGTGTCTAGCCACCCAGAGATCCGCCACCATGTCTGATTCATATTTGTACTCCCCAAATCCAGCTAGGGCTTGCCTCAGATCAACATATTCAGTAAATATTTGCTGAATGGGATTGAAGGGGAGGAGTTGGGTTCCACCCTAGTCCTAAGACAACATTTGTGGCAGGTGCAACGATGGGGTGATTCTGTGTATTTCCTCTGTTAAGCTGGGGTGGAGAGTGTGTAAATGATAGTTGACCATTAGAAGGTTGGTGACTGAAAGTCACACTAGAGGTGTGTTCTCAAGTGACCATAGGTCTCTCTTGCAGATGGCTTCAGTGACTGACAGTAAAACTGGAGTCAAAGATGCCTCTGACCAGAATTTTGACTATATGTTCAAACTGCTCATCATCGGCAACAGCAGTGTTGGCAAGACCTCCTTCCTTTTCCGCTATGCTGATGACACTTTCACCCCGGCCTTTGTTAGCACTGTGGGCATCGACTTCAAGGTGAAGACAGTATATCGTCATGAGAAGCGAGTGAAGCTGCAGATCTGGGTGAGTCATGGGCATCTTGAGCAGTGCTGACCTGAGATATAACTAGTCTGCTAGTCTACAGGCTGGGAGGTGGAACCAGCTTGGAATCTTTAGATACTAACATCAAATGTTAATGTTGTTTTAGGTCTGACCCCTGGGCTTCCCCATGCTGGTTTTATGTAAGTTTGCTCTCCTCTGAGGGTTCATTTGTGTCTGATGCTTAGATGTTCAAGAGACTTTATCCTGACTATGTAAACAAGTGACTAAGAAACTAGGCTTTGGAGTTAGAAACTTGGGTTCAGTCAGATTCTATTTCTACTACTGAGTAGCCACAGAAACCTGACTAAATTATTTAACCTCTCTGGGTCATCCTTTCTTCTTTGGAAATTATAAGGGCATCTACACATAGGGCTGCTAGATGCTTAGTGTAGTTCCTGGAATACAGCAAATACACAATCAGTGTTAGTTACTGTATCAGTTATCTATTGATGCATAACAAATTATTTTAAAACTTGGTGGTATAAATAAACAATAATAATTTATTATCTCTTAGTTTCTGTGGGTCTAATATTTGGGAGTGGCTTGGGGTTTCTTGCGAAGTGTAGCCATATGCTGGCTTGCGTTTCAGTCATCTGGAGGACTGACTGTGTCTGGAGGATCCACTTCCAAGGTGGCTTACTCACATGTCTGGTGCAGACTGTTGGCAGGAAGCCTTACTTCTTCCCATTTGGCCCTCTTAGTATCTTCACAGAGCTGCTTAATCCTCTTCATTGCATGGTAACTGGCTTTCCCTAGAGTGAGCAATCTAAGAAAACAAAGAGGAAAGGGAAATGTCTCTCATGTAGCCTTAGAGTATTCTCTTGGTCATAGATTCAGTGTGGGAGGAAGTTACACAAAGGTTTAAATACTGGGAGAGAAAGATCATTTGGAACTATATTGGAAACTGGTCTCACAACCACTATTGTTGTTATTTACCAATGGTACTAATAAAGTTTATATATGCACACAATGTTCATTTATATACATGTGTACATGCTTTATTATATATATATTATATATACACACTTTATTTTATACACACACACACACAAACACTATTACATATATACAACTCCCGCTCATGTATATATTTTAAATTATATAATACTTACTCTCTCTATATATTTTGTATGGGGAATTGAATCCAGGGCACTTTACCACTTAGCTGCATCCCCAGCCCTTTTTACTTTTTATTTTGAGATAGGGTCTTACTGAGTAGCTTAGGACCTTGCTGAGGCTGGCCTTGAACTTGTGATCCTCCTGCTTTAGCTTTCTGAATTACTGGGATTACAGGTGTATGCTCCTGCACCTGGTAAAACTTGTGTGTGTGTGTGTGTGTATTTATTTAAAATTTTTACACATATGGAGCACAACTTTTCATTTCTCTGGTTGTATATGATGTAGAGTCACACCATTTGTGCAATCATACCCACACATCAGGGGTATAATGTCCATCTTATTCTACCCCCCCCCCCCACTTCCTCATGTATATATTTTAAATGATGTAATACCATATGGATCATATACTCATCAATGAATTTGCACTAGGGTTGGAATTTTGAAAATTTGTGAAGATATTCAAAACATATTGTTTATTATCTATTTTGCTTAGCAAATATATATATATATATATATATTGCATTGTACATTTATTTGGACAGTCTATATATAATATTTTTACAGATTGTCATAATCTCACAATTAACATTATGAGGCAGATACTGTTTTTATATACCCTGTTTTACAGAAAAAAACAGACAGTAACTTTCCTTAAGTCAGCCATACAAATGGAGCACAACTTTTGTATCCTCTAGCTAATGACAAGAAACTTCTGTGCATTATACAAGATATCCCTGACCTCCAATCGGCTGCCTATGTCCTCTCCCGCAAATTTCTGATTTGAACTCAGATCTTCTGATTATAAATTATATGTTCTTTTCTCTACATTGCACATCTGAGGTCTTATAGAGGCCTTATTTCAATTTATGATAATATTTAATGTTAACTTATAGAGATAAGTGTTCATTTTGTTCATTTAAAGGCACTGAGGAATCATAAATCATTAGAAATGAGAGAAGCTATACAGGTTGTCTAGTTGATTGATTATCAAAGTGTGGTTTCTAGACCATCTATATGAGCAACAGTTAGGGATTTGTTGGAAATGCAAATTCTTAGACCCCATCTCAGATCCACTGAATCTGAAACGCTGGGAGTGGAACCCAACAATCTGTGGTATAAGAAGTCTTCCAGGTGGTTTTAAGGCAGGCTAAAATTGTGGAACACTGATCTAGTTTAACTCTCTTATGGTGAGAGTAAACATGCATGTATTAAAAGCACCTCTTAGTGCCTAGTGCAATCACTTGTGTTATCTGATGTCATCTTTGCAGCCAATCACAGAGAGGGGTGAGGGCACCTAGTATTTAGGGTATGGTGAGCAATAGAGTGAAACTGAATCAAGGCTGAGAAAGAGCAGGGAAGGGATGTTGAGAGAGAAATTTGCTGGAGAGGACATAGGCAGCCGATTGGAGGTCAGGGAAATCTTGTATAATGTACAGAAGATTCTTGCCATTAGCTAGAGGGTACAAGCCTGAAGACTTCTTTGGGATCTGAAGAAATTATTAGAGCTTATTTTTTAATCTATAAATACAAAATAAATTAATGTTTTACTAACATTTACTTTGAGGATTGATTGGCACAGACATCTTTGTTTGATCCCTGTATCAAATATATCCTACTCTGGAAAAAGCTTGTTGTAGGAGGCATTCAGCCCTTTCAAGGGGTTGGCAGCAGTGACTTCCTTGCTCTGTTTTTTTCATTTTTAGCCTGTTGTGAGCTTGGCAGTTTTCCTGTACCTGGTTAAGTGGATTTATTGATAATACTATTTAGTTTTAACTAAATGAAATCTAGTTATGTGGCCTTTAAAGAGTCCTGTAAAGAAATCTCTGAAGACAGTACCAAGTATAGTAAACCCAAGTGAGCACAAGAAAATGGCTGAAGTGATGTTCTGTGATTCCAGCACAAGTTCATTTTCAGTTTACATTTCGAGGTAAAATCAATAAAGATCTAATTAGATATGACTTAGTTGCTTTGCTTAAAAAACATTGCTTTGCTTAAAAAAATTATCAAAGGGTTTTTATATGTGTGTATGTGCTTTTACAGGGCAAAATTTGTTTTTTGTGCTGTTCATAAATACATTAAAATTTAAACTTTGAATATTCATATTGTTAATTTCATTTTTATATTTTTTAACATCTTTTGTGTACAAAAGTGGTACAGTGTACATAATATATGTAATCTAGTAATCATATATTATGTACACTGTACCTATATTTGTCTTACTTAATGACTTTTGAGAACTCTATCACAGGTATTGATTGAGGAGCCATTGAAGGGTTTTAACAAAATCAGTTTTGCATTTAAAAAAAAAAATCTCTGGCTTCAGATGAAACAACAACAACAAATTGTGGTTTGGATCCAAACTAATCAAATTGTATTTGTTAAATATGTATAGTTTTTAATATGTAAATTATATCTCATAAAATTACTTAAAAATTAACCAACTAATTTAATTCAATATTGACAGGGGGAGAGAGAGAGAGAGAGAGAGAGAGAGAGAGAGAAATGCACCAGTGGTTTGTATACGTTATAAGGGCCTGAACTAAAGTACATCAGTCCGCTTGGGCTGCCATAACAAAATGCCATAGACTGATTGGCTTAAACTGCAGAAATTGTTTCCTTACACTCTGGAGACAAGAAGTCCAAGATCAAGGTGCCAGCAAGATTGCAGACAGTCACTTTTTCACTATGTGTCACATGACTTTTCCTCCACATGTGGACCTAGGGGAGAGAGTGTACGATCTCCTCAGTGTCTCTCCTTACAGTGACACTAATCCTATTGGATCAGGGTCTCACCCTTATAACCTCATTTAACCTTAATAACTTTCTTATAGGCCTTGTTTCCAAATATAGCCACACTGGGAGTTAAGGCTCCAACACCTGAATTTTGGAAAGATACAAACATTCAATCCATAACACTAAGACAGTGACAAAGTGACCTAAGGGATGGAAATGAGTACAGAGATTAGAGATTTAGGACCAGAATTTACCAAATTTGATAATCAATTTGTTGTAAAGGGAGAAACTGATACATATTTAACGTATACAATTTGATTAGTTTGGATCCAAACCACAATTTGTTGCTGTTGTTCTGTGTGTGTGCCTCAATTTCATCTCTCCTTCATCTGAAGCCAGAGGTTTTTTTTTTAAATGCAAAACTGATTTTGTTAAAACCCTTCAATGGCTCTCCAATATCTGTGATAGAATTCTCTAAACTTTTTACACAAAAGTTATGTGATTTTTTTTTTCAAACTGTAAGCTCTGATAAATCACTTGGCTTCTATGAATACATATCTCTGACTGTAAAATTCTCCCAGGCTTGCTGAGAGGGACTAATGTGGAGCCATAGTATTGTGTCTGGCATATATCAGGAATGCAAGAAATTTTAGATTCCTTCTTTCTCTATCTCCTAGTCTACATGTAAAAGGTGACGGGGTCCCCTCCCAAGGTTTTTCATCTGTGATTCCAAAAGTACTGGAACAACACCTAGTACTCACTAGCCACATATGAAGTATCCATTCAGTGCTTCCAGGCCTTTTGAGCTCTCCCAGGGGATTTTGGAAATCTGTTATTAGTGTGGAAGATGGAGAGGGGAGAAGGGGAGGTTATGAGCATCAGTGAGAAGGACCACCCACAATAGGAGTTTCTGCATCTTTAGGGGATATTGAATGATGAAGGCATTGGGAGTGTCTTGTTCCCTGGGATCCTTACCACATAGGCCTCTGTGAACCTCCTTGGTTTCCTGAGAGGTTAATTATTGTGAATCAGAAAAGAAAATCTTACTGGAGAGGTGGGGCTAGGGGAAAAGTCTCATTAATAGGGAGCGAGAGCATGCTTAAGTGTGAGGGGAAGGAGACTTAGTAACT